GCCAGTTGTACCATTTGTTCCATATTACATATTGACTCCAATTCTTAATCGTTGCAAACATCTCCTCCTTGTGCGCTTATCTGATGGAGATGGGTGGATCGAGGCAACATCTGAATGTGGCTGGCACACGTGTACAATATGCTGCGCATACACACACGTGTCTCCCAGGAGGGGAAAAAAATGATAGCTAATTATGCCGTGACCGTTACATTTATGAGGCCTCTGATCTCCAAAACGGTGGGCTCACCCAGGCTGCAATCTTCAGCGCAACGACTCGCAAGGAAGTAGCGTCGGAATTAATGGGGCTTGTTTGTAAGAAGTCACCTAACGCTTTGGAGGTAGCAAACTAAATCTTGGTAAGGGAGCATTTGGTACTAATTAAGCGTGTCCTGTAAACATCACAGCCCCTGGACTGTGTTCAACAACCACGGTTCAAGAAAACTGCAGTTTAACACGGAGGTGGGGGGGAAATCGTCCATAGAACATTTGACTCACTAAAGTCAGAACTGTTGATTTGCACCTGGTTGTTATGTATATATTTTTTAATTATCCTTGAATGTTAAACTTCAGCCAGAGTGTAACTTCCCACCCATCCCTAAAAAGTGCCCACAGCTGAATGCAATAAAGAATGAAAGAAATGGGGAGGGGGGGAAGCTTTTAGGAAAAAGAAAGATTTCTTCAAGCAATTCTTTTTTCCTTCTCTTTGCTCCCAGCCAAACAAATCACATTTAGTAACTGGGAAGGTTTGATCATCTGTTTGAAATGGGTGTGTTTGATACGGCAGGGCTATGATTGCATGGAAAGGGACAACTCTCCATGACCAACTCGCCACGCGACAATTCAACCATTCCATGTAATTATTTAAAATAATTTTTTAAAAGTGGTTTTCATTTTTGTCTTTGGCATTTCATTTTGTCCCTCCTTTGGCATCCTTTCCTTTGACATATCATCATTGGTGGCTTCTTGTCTGGACTACCTTGAAGGGTATGATCGTGGACTAGCTCTTCCTCTTGACTCGCAAAATCATTCCTACATACTATTACGTAGCAATAGCAATAGCACTTATATACTGCTTCAAGTACTTTCCAGCCCTCTCTAAGCAGTTTATAGAGTCAGCTTCTTGCCCCCAACAATCTGGGTCCTCATTTTACCCACCTCAGAAGGATGGAAGGCTGAGTCAACCTTGAGCTGGTCAAGATTGAACTGCTGGCTGTGGGCAGAGCCTGACATACTGCATTCTAACCATTGTACCACAAAGGGGGGGAGGGAGGGAGGAAGGAAGGAAGGAAAGGAAGGAAGGAAGGAAGGAAGGAAGGAAGGAAGGAAGGAAGGAAGGAAGGAAGAGCAATAGCACATAAACTTATATACGCTTCACCGTGCTTTACAGCCCTCTCTAAGCAGTTTACAGAGTCAGCCTCTTGTCCCCTAACAATCTGGGTCCTCATTTTACCCACCTCGGAAGGATGGAAGGCTGAGTCAACTTTGCATCAGTTAGGATTGAACTGCTGGCGGTGGGCAGAGTTAGCCTGCAATAATGCATTCTAACCACTGCACCACCACGGCTCTTTGTTGCAGTATGTTGCAATACTACGATAACACTTTTATCCTCTCATGCATACAGCCATTGGACCCCTCTGTCAGCATGCCACAAAACAAAATGGAAGCTATTGGCTCATAAATTTTGAGGGAAACCTATTTTAAATTTCCTTGGTAGGCCCTTTGGGTTGAGAAAAGATTTCTTTACCTCGATAGAATCTCAGTCTTTAGGGAATGCACCGAGAAGTCATCACACAGGAAAATCAATTTTTTCAACACTTTAATTTATGATCCTCAACTCGCTAATGTGGATAAATATTTTCCCAAGAATAATATTTCATAATTAAGTGCGATAATCTCAAGGAAAGCTGCTCCCTCTCCAAAATGAGAATTACAGTTTATTAATTCACACTTAATTTGCACTGACAGCAACTCGGTGGGTGAAAATTAATATATCATACTTTCCCGGCGCTGTCATTTTCCAGCGAGGGAAGAAAGAAGCAAAGAAATAGTATTAAGAACACAATGGATGGAAGCCCCTCGGGGCGTTCCAGAAAAACAGAAGGGAGCCCCTGTTTTGTGCCAAAATTTTAAATCTTTTCTGTTGGGTTTATTTATATCACGCCAATGCAATAGAACTGTCTCATTTTGGTTTTCATTGGCTAGCTGTAGTCGGGAGTGGGCTTCAAAAATTTTAGAAAGGGATTCTCTGCCTGGTTGCTGGGTGGGTATGGCCATGGTGGGTGTGGCCTAGTCAGCCTTTGCACCATGGCAGGAGGGGTGTTTTTGCCCTCCCTGGGCTCTGGAGACTTTCTTTGAGCCTCCGGGAGGGAGAAAACGGCCTCCCCAGGCTCCGGAGGCCCTCTGGAGACCAGAAACAGGCCCGTTTCAGGCCTTCCAGAACTTCTGGTAGGCCCATTTTTCACCCTCCCTGAGCCTCTGCACATGCCCTGCACTTAACTGCATCCAAAATGGGCCGCGTGGGGAATCCTGGGAGGGGAGGGGCAGGGTGGGCGGGGCCAGCCAGGAATGGGATTTGGGGGTTCTCCGAACTGCACAGAATCTTAGCTAGAGGTTCTCCCGAACCCCTGCGAACCATCTCTTTTTTTAAAGTTTTGTTAAAGTGCCTTTTTTGTACAGAATGTAGACACACACATAAACACACAGGTGAGCCTTGTGAGTTTGATTCAAGGACACAGCTGTTTCATTGAGTTGAATGCAAGGGAGAGTTAGACTTTCCCATCTACACAATCTGGAGCTGGAGAGCTCTCGTTCCAGATGTTTGCCGATCGTTTTGCAAGTGTTTTATGACAAGTACAGCTTCAATGGAAGGTTATGGTTTCTGTTATAAAAATTAAATGTTCGTAGTCAGTTTACATACTCCATCCATCTGAATTCCAGATGTGCTAGAGATGACAACAACAACAGCAGAGAGTTCTGTGGCGTGCTGAGAGCTAATGATTCTCATGTGACAACTTTACTCTACATAGTACTTGGACAGATGTAGCTTCACCGTGGGGTTAGGCAGATAAATTTTCCTATCATGATTTCCCAGATCTCATTTACTTGGATGAAAGAGAAAGTTGCTTGTGAAATCTTTTCTCAAGGAGAAAAGAATTTCAGTGACATTCTCATGGGATAGAGTATTATATCTATATCTATCTACAGTATCTATTTAGCTATCTGTCTGTCTGTCTGTCTGTCTGTCTATTTATCTATCTATCAATCTAGTTTATATCTATATCACTATATCTCTATATTTCTATCTACTTACCTACATACATACATACCTATCTATCATCTATCTATCTATCTATCTATCTATCTATCTATCTATCTACCATGTTTCCCCAAAAATAAGACATCCCCTGATAATAAGCCCAATCGAGCTTTTGAGCACATGTGCTAAAATAAGCCCCTCCTGAAAATAAGCCCTCCCCGAACGTATTTAAACATATGTGCAGCTGGTCCCTGCCATTTCCTCTGGTTAGGGTTAGGGAGACAGAGCTGGAAATCAGATAAGATGGCAAGAGGAGTCCCGTTTTGCTCCACGCACCCTAAAATAATATGACCTCTCCAAAAATAAAGCCACGCACTTATTTCGAGGTTCAAAAGCATATAAGACAGGGTCTTATTTTGGGGAAAACACAGTATCTACCTACCTACCTACCTACCTACCTACCTACCTACCTATCTATCTATCTATCTATCTATCTATCTATCTATCTATCTATATCTATATCCATACAATGTATATGTATATGTGTGTATATATATATGTATGTATGCTTTTTCCGATCAAATGAGTATCAATCCATTGGCTGTGACAGAAATTGACCAACCAGCTTGTTGCCTGAGCCTGACATCATGGATTAAGAGAAAGTGACTGGTCCAAAGTCACTCAGATAGCTTTCATGACTAAGGTGGGACTAGAACTCACAGTCTCCTGGTGATTGGCCCAAAGTCACTCAGATAGCTTTCATGCCTTAAGAGGGACTAGAATTCACTGTCTCCTGATGATTGGGCCAAAGTCACCCAACTGGCTTTTGTGTATAAGGCTGGACTAAAGCTCACAGTCTCCTGGTGGTTGCCTCAAAGTTACCCAGCTAACTTTCATGCCCAAGGCAGGATTAGAACTCACCTGGAGAAAGAGAGAGAGGGAGGGAGGGGGGAGAGAGAATAAGGATTGCATAACTAAAAATCTGTGTGTGTGTGTGTGTGTGTGTGTGTGTGTGTGTGTGTGTGTGTGATAGAGAGAGAGAGAGAGAGAGAGAGAGAGAGAGAGAGAGAAAGAAAGAAAGAAAGAAAGAAAGAAAGAAAGAAAGAAAGAAAGAAAGAAAGAAAGAGAGAAATAGTTTGAGATTGGCAGGCTTGAGAATTAAAAAAACAACCACCAAAACCCTTTTTGTCTATCTACTATGAAATTCCCCCAGCTTTGCTTTGGCAGAAACGACTCATATTTTTAGGAAGCCGAACAAGCTTTCGTTTGTAAAAATATAAGGTGAACGCAAGAGCCAAGAAAAATATATAAATATATAAATATATAAATATATAAATATATAAACACACACACACACACACACACACAGCCATTTCACTTATTTATTATTTCATGGTTTCATGTATGCCCACCCCACTATGCATCATTTTCGTTCTGGTTCTCAGGAGCATTCTCTCTTTCGGAAGGCTGGATATTTTCTTCGAGAGAGAGAGAGAGAGTTGGGAGAGGATGCCAAGTTTGCGAACGCAGAGAAATCCCCTTGGCTGCAGGGGGTTCAGATCGTGCTACGGATTGCATCTAGTAGTAAGGCATCCGCTTCGGAACTCTGCAACTCTCTTCAAAGACTTGCACCAACTCGGTCCCAAAGACGTATGACTCAAAGCCTTGTGAGTCAAGCTCTCCTTTTTTCATAACTTCTGGAACATCACCAAAACATCATTTTTAAAAGTTCCCTGTGGGAATGCGAGACGTTTAAATGCACATACAGATGACTTAAGATGGAAAACTTAAATCTCGAAGATGGAAGCAATATTGCCAAACGTTTCGCAGGATGTGATTTTTTTTTTTTTTTAATGGTCCAAAGAGAAAGACAGGATAACAAAGATATTCCTTGACGTGATTGGGAAAAAGGAAGAAGAAATAGGTTGTCCCGTTCCAATGTTTTTAGCAGCGATCCATTTTTCCTCCATGCAACAGATTGCAGGTGACGGTGATAGTAGCGGAGATGATGGTAGAATCTCCTTTTCCTTAAATTTTACACTAAGCTTAAAATGTTCTTCGTTTACAAAGGTGCCATCAGTTTTAAAACCTCCATAAATATCATGGAAGGTAGAATTCTAACATCAAGGAACCTATTCAAAAACTTTAGGGTTCTTTAAAGACTAGAACAATACAACATTCCTTGGGGTTGGCATGGTGGCGCAGTGGTTAGAATGCAGTACTGCAGGTTATTTCTGCTGCCTGCCGGCTGCCTGCAGTCCAGCAGTTTGAGCCTCACCAGCTCAAGTTAACTCAGCCTTCCATCCTTCTGAGGTCAGTAAAATGAGGACCCAGATTATTGGGGACAATAGACTGACTCTGTAAACCACTTAGAGAGGGCTGTAAAACACTGTGAAGCGGTATATAAGTCTAAGTGCTAGTGCTATTGCCCATCCATCCATCCATGATGCGCAATGGTTAAAGTGCAGCATTGCAGGCTGACTCTGCCCGCTACCAGCAGTTCGATCCTGACCGGCTCAAGGTTAACCCATCCTTCCATCCTTCCAAGGTCGGTAAAATGAGGACCCAGATTGTTGGGGGCAAGAGGCTGACTCTGTAAACTGCTTAGAGAGGGCTGTAAAGCACTGCGAAGCAGTATATAAGTGCTATTGCTGTTACTCTTCCTTTTCTCTCTCCTTCCTTCCTTCCTTCCTTCCTTCCTTCCTTCCTTCCTTCCTTCCTTCCTTCCTCTTATTCCCTTTCTCATTCTCCTTCCTGGTGGCACAGTGGTCAGAATACAGTATTGCAGGCTAATTCTGCCGACTGCCAGCAGTTCGATTCTGACTGGCTCAAGGTTGACTCAGCCTTCCATCCTTCCGAGGTGGGTAAAATGAGGACCCAGATGGTTGGGGGACAAGAGGCTGACTCTGTAAACTGCTTAGAGAGGGCTGTAAGGCACTGTGAAGCAGTATATAAGTTTAAGTGCTATTGCTATTGCTATTCCTGAGTCAACCCAAGTAGAACAAAGGTCATTGCCATCTGGGGATGAACCACTCTCACCATATGGAGAATTTCTTTTCCCATCCCTAACTTTAATGATTAATGGCCTTGCAAAACCTAAGTCCTTTGAAAATTATAATTTTGCCCTTTTCTTCCTCCTTCTAACAGTAAATTGGGTCAACGTGTTCCACAAATTTACATTTCAATTAATCCCTTCCTTTCCCTTCCTATGGCAATAATACTTTGGGTTAGCCATGCACCGTGCCCGCTCCAGGAAAGGCGATCCCTTCCACCACTTTGTTCATGAAAAAGCTCCTTCATTCATTCAGAAAAGGCCAGGCGTGGATAAGAAGAAATCTTCAACCTTCTTCTGTCTTCTTCCATTAGATTTAATAAATGCACCGAAGAAGATAGGGCGGTGTCAAATTCTCGGTCTCTGAAACTGTTCCATTCAGAGGTTTCGCCTTTCAAAAGTGGGATTCTATCATTATCCACTTGAAGTCCATCTATGGTCACAAGTAGATGCAACAGGGAGAGATGTCGAGTCCCCCCCCCTCATTGGTTCACAATGCAGAGCATGAGTGTCTTATTCATAGCTTCCCTTTCTCTTATGTTACTTCTACTTTGCGGAGAAAGTTTAGTTTATGCTTCAAAGACTTAGCGGAATGTCGTAGGTTTCTTCAGCTAGATAACTATGGATGGCAAGTTATTTGTAAGAAATAACCAGGCTGAGCCTGAGGGCAGGGTCAAATATGTCATCAGTTTGGAGTCATTATGCTCCCACAAGAAACCTAAGTCCAGCCCTCCGTGAATTCTGTTAACTTTTATCTAGTGCCAATTTGCTTTAACCACTAGTAGAAAAGCAGAGACATCACCCTGCCAACAAAAATGCATATAGTCCAGGCTATGGTTTTCCCAGTTGCAATGTATGGCTGTGAAAGTTGGACCATAAGGAAGGCTGAGTGCCAAAGAATTGAGGCCTTGGAACTCTGGTGCTGGAGAAGACTCCTGTGAGTCCCTTGGACTGCAAGGGGATCCAACCGGTCAGTCCTAGAGGAGATCAACCCTGACTGCTCTTTAGAAGGCCAGATCCTGAAGATGGAACTCAAATACTTTGGCCACCTAATGAGAAGGAAGGACTCCCTGGAGAAGAGCCTAATGCTGTGAACGATGGAGGGCAAAAGAAGAAGAAGGGGACTGCAGAGAGCGAGGTGGCCGGATGGAGTCACTGAAGCAGTCGGCGTGAGCTTAAATGGACTCCGGGGGATGGTAGAGGACAGGAAGGCCTGGAGGAATGTTGTCCATAGGGTCGTGATGGATCGGACATGACTTCGCAACTAACAACAACAACTAGTAGTAGATCATATTCTTATGTATAGGTATCATGAAATAAACTCGTAGAGGCAACAGGACTTTCTGTCCCAGCTGAAGAAGCTTCTTGGATGAGAAGCGAAAGAAAAGAAAAAACAAGAAAGTCCAGTTGCCTCCTGAAAAAGCACCTTTGGGACAACCATGACCTGGATGACTGAGAATCTCCATAGACCTTAAGAAGAGATTGGACAACCATTTGTCTGAAATTGTATATGGTTTCCTGCTTGAGCAAGGGGTTGGACTAGAAGACCTCCAAGGTCCCTCCACAACCCTACCATTCTGTTAAATGATTGCCACGATGTAAAAAAGATGTGGAGACTCTAGAAAGAGTGCAGAGAAGAGCAACAAATGTGATTAGGGCACTGGAGGCTAAAACATATGAAGAACGGTTGCAGGAATTGGGGATGTCTAGTCTGATGAAAAGAAGGACTAGGGGAGACATGATAGCAGTGTTCCAATATCTCAGGGGCCGCCACAAAGAAGAGGGAGTCAAGTTATTCTCCAAAGCACGGGAGGGCAGGACAAGAAGCAATGGGTAGAAACTAATCAAGGAGAGAAGCAACTTAGAACTACGGAGAAATTTCCTGATAGTGAGAACAATGAATCAGTGGAACAACTTGCCTCCAGAAGTTGTGAATGCTCCAACACTGGAAGCTTTTAAGAAGAAGTTGGATAACCATTTGTCTGAAGTGGTGTAGGGTTTCCTGCCTAAGCAGGGGGTTGGACTAGAAGACCTCCAAGGTCCCTTCCAACTCTGTTATTATATTCTATTAAATCAAAAGTTATTACTCTGGTCCCCCCCCGCCCCAGCTAGTTGCGATTTTAATTCAGGCTATATCCTTGTGATGTGCTTAAGTGTTTGTTTGCCAGTACGAAGCCTACAATTGTTTATTCTACAGCAATTACACTAACATTAATAAGACTGCTCCGGAGTAAATGGGTCATAGATTACAACCTAAATGACTTATTGATCAATACGTATGAAATGCTGAAAACCTATGAACTTAAGGATCTGGGATGCTTATTTGTTTCCTTTTAAAAAAAAAAAAGAAAAGAAAAGAAATAGCAATGGCCCTTCATTGATCTTATGATATAACTCCATCAAGTTCTGTGAGATGAATGAATCTTCAGAATTTGTGGTATAAGTTGCTCATATTTGCTTAGTGGCCTCTTTCCGGAGTTATTAGTTTCCCTAACCCTCAATGACTGGGTAATTTCTTCTATCTGTCCTTATTAAGTTAAATCAATTGAACTTTGGCAAAGGGCTGAGTAGGAAGCAGGAGAATCCTTCCAGCATCTGCTGATCGGCTTTATAAGTAATGTGAATGAAGAGGCATTAATTTAGCACTTCTCTTTCTTAATCCGTAGAAATCCTGATGTGTCTGCAGCAGCATTTGTTAAAACAGGCACCCGTTGTGTTTTGCTGGGCTAAGGATTGCATAAGGCTTTGGAACAGGGTGTTATACCCTCAGAAGTGGTACGTCCAAAACGAAACAGAGTTCATGCATGTATCGATACGGGCACTCCTCGGCTTATGACCACAATTGTACCGTCTCCTGATAGCATGGCAGCTCTTTAAAGTCTTCCCATAAACAGCAAACCCGCTCAATGTGAATTGTCTTGATTTCATGCCTTCATCTCAGTTGTGTATTTTGTAGATGATAGAAGATAGAAGGACTGAAGAAGCTGATGTAAGAACTGAGGAAGCTTCTTGGATGAGAAGCAAAACATCTTTTAAACAAAAACAGAAAGTCTAGTTGTCTTTTGAAAGAGCACCTTTGGGAAACCATGACCTGGATTACTGAGAATCTCCATCTCTCCCTCTCCCTCTCCCTCTCCCTCTCTCTCTTCATCCATCCATCCATCCATCCATCCATCCATCCATCCATCCATCCATTATCCATCCATCCTACCTACCTACCTACCTACTTATCTATCTACCTATCCATCCATCCATCCATCCATCCATCCATCCATCCATCCATCTACCTATCTACCTATCCATCCATCCATCTATCCATCCATCCATCCATCCATCCACCTACCTACCTACCTACCTACCTACCTACCTGCCTGCCTGCCTGCCTGCCTGCCTGCCTACCTACCCATCCATCCATCCATCCATCCATCCATCCATCCATCCATCTATCTATCTATCTATCTATCTATCTATCTATCTATCTATCTCTATCTACCTACCTACCAATTCATCTATCCATTCATCCATCTATTTTTAAATACAAGCTTCTCAACCACCCATCCCCAACACAGAGGGGTTTTGGCCAGTGATTTAGTATATGATTCAACACCTTACGGTATGCAGCCCCAGAAAAAGGATTAATTCGGCAATTAAGCTTATTGTATAAACTCAGCCACCGTTTTTACATTAGAAAGTCCTTTGCTCTTCAAAGTCGGATGGAATCGGAATATTTAGAATGATTTATGCAGCGAGACAAACAGCTTATGCTCCATTGGTGTCTACATGTCCATAAATCCGCCAAGGGGCTTGGCCAGCCTGAACGAAAACAGAACCGAAAAGTTGATGTAACAAATTTCAGGAGTTGGAGAACACTTGTCTCCTTCATGTACTCAGCAGTCATAAAAAAAAAAAAAACACCCACCACCGACCTAGTAAAATATGGCTCCCTCGTTGTCAACATAATTTAGACTGGCTCCAGGTTTCCGGACGACGGTCGTCACCTCTTTGGCAGCCTTTTGGGTGACAAACAAGTTGCAATGCTTCGCCAGAAGGTCATAGATGTGATGATTTATTTCTTATTGTGGCCTCCAGCAGTAGTTTAAATTAAGGGATGACCCGGGTAAAAGCACCCAAGGATTTCAGATCGGCTGGAGGAGCACCCACACGTGGTCAGGGGTGAGGGTGAGGTCTTCTCAGGGATGAAAGGTTAAGTACTGCAGAATTCTTCAACGGTTGCTGTTTTTTGCTAAGTGAGAATTAAAAGGCAGTAGGAGAATCACTAAAGGAACGAGCGGTTGGGTGGAATGGCTCTAATTCAGGAATCAGGAACATCAGGGGAGGGCTTCAAAAATTTTAGCAGGGGGTTCTCTGCAGGGTGGGCGTGGGCATGGTGTGTGTGGCTTAATCAGTCTCCTGCACCACAATGGGGGGGAGAGTGTTTTTGCCCTCCCCGGGCTCCGGAGGCTTTTCTCGAGCCTCCGGGAGTGTGAAAATGGCTTCTCCAGGCTCCGGAGGCCCTCTGGAGGCCAGAAACCAGCCTGAACTTCCAGTAGGCCCATTTTTGCCTTCCCTGAGCCTCTGCACACGCCCTGCACTTAACCTGCATCCAAAATGGGCCATGTGGGGACTACTGTGAGGGGTGGGGCGGGGTGGGCAGGGCCAGCCAGGAGTGGGATTTGAGGGTTCTCCGAACTTCACAGAATCTTAGCTAGATGTTCTCCCGAACCCCTGCGAACCCCCAGCAGCCCACCCCTGAGGGACATGCCCTTGATTACGGTGTATGGAAGGTCCCAGATTCAGGAAAATTTAAGATGCATTTGATGGCTACTACTCAGTCAATATTCTACTCCAGATTTCCATATATCTCTTTCCCATTGGCTGTATTGACCCCCAGAGGAGAGGAGGGGTAAATGCTTTGCTCACAACTCAGTTGTGTGTCCAAAGGTGTCTCTGAAAACAATCAAATGTCAACCCCATCCCTGGCTTGGAAACAACTCTAGATGCCATCACTAAAGCATTTAGAGCAGGGTCTTGACAACTTTAAGATATGTGGACTTTGACTCCCAGAATTCCCCACCCAGCCGTGTTGGCTAGGGAATTCTGGGAGTCAAAGCCCACCAGTCTTAAACCCAAAGGTGCTTTTTCAAAAGGCATCTGGACTTTGTTTTTCCTTGGAGATGTTTCGCTTCTCATCCAAGAAGCTTCTTCGGGACTGAAGAAACTCTTTGGATGAGAAGCAAAATGTCTTCAAGGAAAAACAAAGGAAGTCCAGTTGTATCTTGGGACAACCATGACCTGGTTGACTGAGAATCTCCATGGATCAAAGTCTTAAAGTTGACAGTGTTGGACGCCCTTGGTAAAGACACAATTACAAGCCAGTGGTTTAATTTTCATAGCAAGCAGCAAACAAATCAGATCTGCTCTTGAAATGTCATCTTCGTTTCCCTTACGTTGTGCCTTATTGAAATTTCCTGAAGATAATTTAAGACGACGCATCTCCTTCCTTCACTCCTTGAACTACAAGAGGCTTTTTCAGCTTTACACCATCTCCTTGTCCATCACTTTGAAATCAATGGCCCTGCTGCCATTCTTCTCCAGCGCTCATAGAGGTGTCCAATTAGCAGGATACAAGTCCCAGAATTACTCGGCCAGACGGTTTAATTTTTATAACAAGTTGGCCAGCCACAAACTCATCAGATTTCCTTTCCCCCTCCCACTTTCCCTCCAAAACAAATATAATATTAAAAAAAATTAGTTTACACTATTTCCCTGATAGATATTTTGGTTGTCTTTACGCCGCGCCGAATTGCAATCATCTGTATTTAAGACTAATGGATTTGAAATAACCCACAGGCTCCTGCTTTAATGAGAGTTAGATTAATGAAAAAAAAAAAAAAACCTTTTACCTTCCATTGCATGACAACATTTTCAAATTACATTCCTGAAACAGAGAATTCACTTATTCAGAGTAATTGGATGCGGACTAGGGTTAATACGTACAATGTCCTTAAATGAAAATGTTCTATTGTATGTAGGACTGTATGATACCTGAGGCATTCTCCTTTGGCTTGGAGTTAATTATACTGCTTTCTATTTTTTGAATGAATTCAAGCATGAATTCTACACAGTAAAGATTGGGATAATTATATTCAATTCTGCTTGGTGCCCCTCCGAATGAATTGACCTTTTTTGATAACACTAGTCTCTTGAGCAGGAAATCTGAAGAAATAGTTCACAAAGCCACCAGATGCAAAGAGGCGATGGGGGAGAGAAGGGAGAAAAGGAGGAGGAGGAGGAGGGACAGACTGAGCCTTACATGAAGGAATCAATAGTTGAAGGAACAGTAGCATTAATGACACTCAAGACTTCTTTATAAAAAAAAAACAAAAAAAAAACAAGGCATGGGAAAAAAATAAGTTTCTCCTTTAGAGATGGCTGGTAGAATGGTTATAATTTTCAATCAAGCAAGCAGAATAGAGATGGAAGGGTCCTTAGTGGTCTTCTAATCCAACCTCCTGCTCAAACTGGAGACCCTATGCCCGTGATGGCGAACCTATGGCATGCGTGCTACAGGTGGCACGTAGCACCCACTCTGTGGACACGTGAGCCGTTGCCCCAGCTTAGCTCCACTGTGCATGCATGCACACCTCCCGCTGGCCAGCTGGTCTTCAGGTCTCTGCTACGAACCAGTAGATCCAATGATCAGCTGGGAGTGAACCGGTTGGCCCCGATGATCAGATGGGCCCACCCACCCGCCCACACTATTTTCCTACTTTTATCTTCTCGGTTGATTCGCACGACAGAGCAGATTTCTGTGGCTCAGCTGTGTTTCCCCTCCGAAGAAACACAGAAGTGAAGATTTCTTCAAACTGCACACACACGCGGCATGCATCAGGCGTGCACAATCACCGAATCGGTTGTTAAACCGAGAGGATCCCACTACTGGTTGCAAGTACTCGGTATGGCTAGTCTAGTGAAGAGAAGGGGAGACAGGCTAGCAGTGCTCCAATATCTGAGGGGCTGCCACAGAGAGGAGGGGGGTCTAACTATTTTCCAAAGCACCCAAAGGCCAGACAACGAATAATAGATGGAAACTGATCAAGGAGGGATTCAACCTAGAAATAAGGAGGAATTTTCTGACAGTGAGAACAATCAACCGATGGAACAGAAGTTGCCTTCAGAAGTTGTGGGAGCTTCATCACTGGAGGCTTTCAAGAAGAAACTGGACTGCCATCTGTCAGAAATGGTGTAGGGTTTCCTGCTTGGGCAGGGGGGTGGGCTAGATAACCTCCAAGTGCCTTCCAATCTGTTTCCCGATAAGCAAAGTCAATGGGGGAAACCAGATTCATTTAATGACTGTGATTCACTTAACAACTTCGGTGATGGCAAAAAAAAAAGGCTGTAAATTGGGGCACATCTGGCTAAACAAGTGCCTTGTTTAGCACCCGAAATCCTGGCTCTGTACGTGGTCATCAGTCGAGAGGGTCATTTAAAGTCTGGAATTGCTATACAAAGGCTGCAGGGGGAAAACAAAATTTGCCATTCTGGAGTAGTACATTTTGGGAGCTACAAAGTCAGCTTGGAGATGGATGTTTGCAGAAAGTTCCGTTAGGCTAATCGGTCTATTTAAAATGCCCCGTTCTTGCCTCACTTTTCAAAGCTATAGGTAACTAACATCATTTTTAAAAGAACCTGAGATTTATGTACGATGTGCAGTGAAGGCAGCTGACATCTAATGAATGGTTTACCCCCTTCGCCTTTTCCCAGCTGAAAAGATGGGGGTTTAGAAATAATTACATGATCTCAAAGTAAAAGGCCTTCATTTCTTCTATAAGCGAGAACTCCAAACGACCTAATTAAATACCATGTATTTTATATCTTGCATGGATAGCAATAATTAAATCTGAGCT